AAAAGAAAAGTAGTTGGCTTTTTAAAGTTCAGAACAATTATAAGGCTAGAGTTCAATGCACTATGGGGAATTTGCCCGATTTTTTGGAATAAATATTTTTTAAAAGTATGCCGATTTTCCATTTTTTTGTTTTAATGTATTAAGAAAACATCAAGCTGTTTGGTAACATACCGCAAATGTAAACTTAAAAATCTAGTATTTAAATACCAACTGTTAAAGTCAGCTGTTGCAAGCGCACATGGTTTGTTTACATTTTGCTTAACTATGAAGCTCATTTTTAAATCATTATCTCTGCAACAAAATGACGTAAGTCAGTCAAATTTGAAATGATTACCAATTCTCAAGGTATGTTCTGTGTAAAAATACTTATATATTGCTTAATATGTGCGTCCAATTTTTACAATTTGTAAATGTAGCAGGTGATGTTTTCGTTTGGGTTTTGGAAAGAAAATTAATTTTTCAATAGAGTTTTAAAAAAATGTTTAACTTTGTTCAGTGAGTGTCTATATCTATGTTGTAGAGCCATTAATTGCGAATTCAGAACATATTGTCTCATCGTGCGCTTCGTGCGACTTTTCGCGTAATTTCATTTTTTAGAAACCAATCTCTTGATCAAAAACGCAGCCCTGCTGGAAGTTTTGCATAAGCAAATGGGTCTTCGAGAAAAAGAAGATGGCGAATTCACTTTTGTTAGCTAGCTAGTTAATACCACAGTTGAATCTCCAACTTTACAGATGTTTTTCAGAGAGCCATGGTTACTTCAGACCCCATCATTTCATCAATTAATTTGAAGAAGCGCGTCCGAAAACATAAGCTGCTTGCTCTTCCGCCAGAAGTCATTCAATTGTTATTATGCGAATATGAACCTTGAGACGAGTCTCTAGATGTTGATAATTATGAAGAAGAAAACGACTATGATTGAAATTGAAAATTAAGAGCATATAGTTAGATCGCGGCTTGGCCCATTATACGCGACACCGTCAGTTGACTTTCTCGAGGGTATAGATTTGGGTAAAAAGGCGTTCTTAACCAATTTTAATTGCCGGTTTCGATCGAGTCGTTGTTACAAGTCTAATTGCTAGTTAGGTCCCGCAAAGATTAAGTTCCAATTATGAAATCTCATTTAAATTGTTTCAAAGAGATGTTTTATTTAAAGCGAGCTGTTGCTTGTGCGGTCTGTACACGACTACTTGATTCGAGCTTTTATTGTAATGTCTTTCTTTCTTATCTTTATTCTTAGGCTAAGCTTATACATGTAGGTTACAATTAAGGGTATACAAATAGTTATACTTGGATATGTGACTCCCCCACGACAAGTTTCTGCAATCTTAATTGTAGAAATTTATAAATTGTAATTACATGTATAACTCTTATAAACTTATTTTAATTTTGGAATGTGTATTTTCTTTTGACTTGGTCTTTGAATATTTTTGCGTTTGCGTCTTCATTTGATATTAGGTAGTTTCCATCTTGATGATAGTTTTGAACTAGCTTATACTTAGGATTTGATTTACCAATTTTATAATTTTTAACATAATCATTTTCAAAATTTTCCCTATTAATATTATTATTTTTTAAATTTAAGAGTTCCTTATTATGTTTGATTTTTTTCGCGATGTTTTGTTGTTGTTCTGCACTTAGGATGTTGTTTAGGAAATCGATTGGTTTCATCTTTGTAATAGAGTGAATAGTATTATTATAGCATACCATTGCTTTAAATACTTTGTTTTGAATCGTATCATTGTTTTTCTCGTCTGCATTAAAAAGTCGGATGTGCTCATTTAATGTCAAGTGTAGTCTCTCAAAATCTGAGTTCCCTGTTTTTTTATACGGTGTCGTGAAATGGATTTCTATATTGTTATCTATAAGAAACTGTTTTATGCAATTTATATTAAATTCATTATCCGTTATAATAAGCTTGGGCTTGCCTAAGTACTGGATTCTCTCTTGTATAGCCTTTAGCAACGAAACCCAAGATCTATCTTTAATATAACAAGCAGTAGCGTATTTTGTGAATTTGTCTATTGTAGTAAGGTACATAGTGTTTCGCATGGGGAACCAAATATCTAGATGGATTATCTCGTTGTGTTGCGAAGGGGTATCGGTTATGTTTAGCTTATATTTTAAGGGGTTTCGATCATATTTGGCCAAGTTACAAATTTTACAATTATTAACATATTTCTGAATTTCTTTCTGAAGATTCGGATAGTAATACATTTTTTTTATTTCGGCAAAGATTTCGTTAATACCTCTATGGTTGTTTTTTAAATGTTCTTCATTTATTATTTTTAAAATTTGTTCTTTATCTGTTACATCTTTTAGCAAAATAAACGATCTTATTAGTTTTAAGTTTTCGTTGCATGCGAAGTATTGTCTGTAACATTCCTGGAATTTCACGTACAAATTAACGTCTTCGCAATAAATGGCTACTAGGCCTTTATCTGGTAAGATTTCCTGCGTTAATTCTAAAATGGAGGTCTTATTTCCTATTGTTTCTATAATGTGTCTTATTTTTCGTTTATACAAGATTTTGGTGGCTCGCGATTCCTTTTGCGATAGTTTTAGTACTATTTGCGACTTATATATGTTTAACGCGTTATCTGTATTTTTTATATAGTTTAAGTTATCGGATTGAGCACTGTGGATGGTTTCACAATTAGTGGATTGATTTGAAAAAAGGTTTATTAGGTCTAACGAAAAGTCGTTGTTTAGTTCGTCAATTGTTTCGACGGTTTGCTTTGTATTGTCGAGTTCGCCTACCAATATACAAGCTTTATTCAGCTGGATTAGATCACTTCTATTTACTTCGGGACAATCTGTGAGGAGTTAAATAACTCCACACAAAATATCTCAAAAATAACTGCATGGAAAACCTGCCATGTAGGAAGCCGAAAGACGATTGCCCGTCTAGCTGCCAGATACTACTGGCCAGGAATGCAGAGGGACGCGAGAGCATACGTTCGGAAATGCGAAGAGTGCCTAAAATTTAAGCCAAACCAGCGTCAGGCGGCGGGTAAGATGCTGACACAAGTCCCTGAGGAACCATGGGCAACGGTGTGCGCGGATTTTGTTGGACCCCTGCCAAGATCGAAGCACGGTAACCAAATGTTATTGGTTCTAATCGACCGTTTCTCAAATTGGACAGAATTAGTGCCATTACGAACTGTTACAGCAGAAACCCTGCAAAAGGCGTTTAAAGAACGGATAATCGCTCGATTTGGAGTTCCAAAAGTGGTGATTACAGACAACGGGGTGCAGTTTGCCAGTCGGGCATTTAAGAAGTTTCTTCACGACATGGGAATAAAACAACAGTTCACAGCACCATACACTCCTCAAGAAAATCCCACCGAGCGCGCGAATCGAACCGTAAAAACCATGATCGCACAGTTTGCCGGACAAAACCAAAGGAACTGGGACGAAAAGTGGCCAGAGATAATGCTAGCAGTTAACTCAAGCATATCCGAGTCCACAGGATACTCGCCTTCATTTCTAACGCAGGGCAGAGAACCGCGGCTGCCGAACGCGTTGTACGACAGAGAAACGCTGGGCACAGGGAGGCACACAGAGTCACCAGAGGGGAATGCCGAAAAACTGAAGGAAATCTTCGAAATTGTCCGACGAAATTTGGAAAAGGCAGCACAGGATCAAGCCAGGCACTACAACCTCAGAAGGAGACGGTGGAATCCACAAATCGGCGATGTCGTCTGGGCCAAGGAGCACCATTTGTCTAAAGCGGCGGAAGGCTTCGCGGCCAAACTAGCGCCGAGATATGATGGTCCATATCAGGTAGTCGATTTTGTGTCCCCCGTAATCTGCAAAATTCGCCACCAAAGAAGCAAGAAGCAACGCACAGTGCACATCAGCGATCTAAAGCAGCAGGAGGAGACACAAAAAACGAACAAGGACGGAAATACAGGTAGGTCTCAAGCAGTGGACGAATAAAGGATCGGGATTGCGGAAATCCGTTTAATCGTCAGGACAAAGCCGGAGTCAACGGAAAAGGATGTGGACAGGCAGACAGGATATCGTTTAATCGTCAAGCGAATGCAGATCAACCAGCGTCCAAGACCGCATGAGACAATAGCACCCGTTTAGTCGTCAGGCCAAAACCGGAGTCAACAGAGCACGCCTCAACACGAGCAAGAACTCTGATCAAGTCAGCATACACCTAAGTCAACGACGAATAAAGGATCGGTACTACGAGAACCCGTTTAATCGTCAGGACAAAGCCGGAGTCAACGGAAAAGGATGTGGACAGGCAGACAGGATATCGTTTAATCGTCAAGCGAATGCAGATCAACCAGCGTCCAAGACCGCATGAGACAATAGCACCCGTTTAGTCGTCAGGCCAAAACCGGAGTCAACAGAGCACGCCTCAACACGAGCAAGAACTCTGATCAAGTCAGCATACACCTAAGTAAACGACGAATAAAGGATCGGTACTACGAGAACCCGTTTAATCGTCAGGACAAAGCCGGAGTCAACGGAAGAGGGAGTTGGATAGACAAGAAGGACGATCTTGCAAATAAAAACAAGACAGATCCCAGACTAGATGGGGCAGAGGCAACCGTTTCTACGTCAGGCCAAAGACCGGAGTCAACAGAGCATACACCCAATAGAAAGGGACATTATCAACGCAAGCATTCACCGGACCTGCGAAACGATCACAAGGAAAACACGTGGAGAGCAACGACATAATACACGTCACCGAGGGACGGTACGGGGTACCGTAAAGCTAGGAAAACCATGCGTCAGCAACGACCACCAAAAAGTAACTGAAGAGACCGAGCCAAAAACGAAGGAAGACCTAGGCATCGGAGGAGAGTGTCAGCATCAGACACGCAGGGTTAAGAAAAAACGGCCTCCCCAAAAGAGAAGACATAAGCCGCAAAGAGAGCCGATAGGGATATAACGGTACGGCATAAAAGGAATCCCCGAAACCGAGGCTTCATGGTAAAGGGAATTGCAAGGGAACGGACAAATCAAACCAAGAAGTCAACATGAGTACCCGAGTTACCAGAGCAGCAGCAAGGAGGCAGGCCGCGCTTCAGCGAGGTCCTGAAGGACCCGTCGCGGAGCAAGGACGGTCGGAGGCTAGGCCGCTGCCTATCTTCCGGCCCACCCAAACCCCGCGGCGCGGTGCCGAGGACGATGGAGCTCGCTCGGAGCCCGAACCCATAGTCACCTCGGACGAGAGCGACATGGAGTGGGCCGAGGACCCGGCCAAGGAGAGGCGGGAGTGGCGCCTAAAGAGGGCCAGGGACCCGAAGGTCGACGCAATCCCGCCGGGATACGCCCGAACATTTAAGGGTGCGGCGAAGAGACCAAGGGGCAGCGGAAGCACCTCGTTGGAGATGGCTGAGGCGAGAGCCAAGATGCTGAGGGACGAGGTCGAGAGGATGCGGACGACGAGTGCCCGATACGAGGACCGCAGAGCAGTGGAGAAGGACCTTGAGACCGCGCAGCAAGAATGGGAGCGGATGAAGCAAGCCGACGCTGAAGCCATCGTCCAGGAGGCATATCGCCTCAAGCGAGGAGAGGAGAAGGCCCGGAAAGAGGCGGAAGTTGAGGAGGCCAGGAGAAGGGCGGAGGAGGAGAAACGGTCCAGGAACCCCGAATGGCAGCAACGGCTACAGAAGTGGGAAGAGGAGGAACGCCAACTGTGGTCGGGCGAGGTTCTGGTGGAGGCGGTGCCCTTAATCCCAGGAGGGATGCAAGGAATTCCCCCGACTCCCCGATCCGACAACGACGGAAATGCCAGTCGTGGACCCGAGGCCCCGAACCAGTGGGCCCAGTCGGATGGATGGGTTCCCTACCAGGACCCAAAACCCCATCCCCAAAATTGGCACGAGCCACCTCCGACCCCCCGCCCGCAAGAATGGCCGGAGGATGTCGACCGGGATCCCGCTCCAAGCGCCTCACCACGTCAGCAGGAGGCGGAGTTCCCACGCCCACCGAAGTGGACCCCGGCACGACCGCCCACGCCACGGTATGGCCAGGAGGTCCGGGGAGAAGAGCCCGAGGATAGCAGTCCGGATTCCGCTCCCAGCCCCCTCCAAGTCATCCAGAGGCGGAACACCCCCACCCACCGAAGTGGACTCCGGCTCGGCCGCCCACGCCTCGGCACGGCCAGGAGGTCCAAGAGGAGGAACCGGAGGAACACACCCAGGAGGAGGTTCCCAGACCAGGAGGAGGGGAGGAGCAGTGGCAGTACTGCCGGACATAGAATAAATTGGTATTACAGCCAATGTAGCCGGACTGATTGGTATTACAGCCGGCACAGCTAGCCTGATCGGTATTACAGCCAATGCAGCTAAACTGACCGGTATTACAGCCAACTTCGTCGGACTAATCGGTATTACAGCCAATCTTGATGTTCTGTAGACTTGGCCGTGGGTTGCCGTTCGAGGACTCGGCTACCTGTGTCTCAATTCGGTGACTTGCTCGGTCCCGAACCTCTCGACGTAGCGATCTTGTTCACGGTTGGTTCTCACGGTGGTATATTCTTGACTTTGACTTTTACTAGACGATGTTCACTCGTAGTTTGATGCTCGATGACTGGTCCTGATTCCAGCGCTGGGCCCGTTTATATAGGCCTCCGGGTCCCGTTAATCCTCGGCCATTCCTTTTCTTCTCTCCACTCCAAGGTCCAAAGTCCACGGTTTTACCGTTTGACCTTTCGCCCTCTGCACACGGCACCACACTGAAGTCCACAGTGCAGCGCTGTACCGTTCCTTCCTTGCTCACGGCACGCCTGCGCTCTCTGGGCTCTCGCTCTGACTAGTGCCGTCTCGCTCTGGCACCTCTCTCCGCTCCGTCTCTCCCAATCTCTCCAAACTCTCATTGGGTTCGTACTTTGTACTTTCTCTCCTCGTACTCTCCAACTGCTTTCTCCAAACTCTCTTTTCCTGCGTTGCCGTTACTACGCGAAGTAGTTGCGTAAGTAGCAACTGGCAGGTTTTCCATGCAGTTATTTTTGAGATATTTTGTGTGGAGTTATTTAACTCCTCACAAATCTAACAAATTATTATCAGTGCATATCCTACTTAGTCCGTCGGCTAGAGCATTTTCTTTTCCTTTAATGAAGGCTATATCGAAATCATATTCATTTAGTTGGATTTTCCATCTCTGTAGCTTTAAATTGGATTCTTTTAAGTTGTTTAGCCATACTAGTGGGCGGTGGTCGGTTTTTATTAAAAACTTTCTCCCATATAAATAATAATGAAAATGTTTGACGCCCCAGAAAATAGCTAGAAGTTCCTTTTCAATCGTGCTATAGTTCAGTTCGTGGGTTTTTAAAGTACGGCTGGCATAACATATTACTTTGGTATCCTGCATTAGCACCGCTCCCAAGGCATGGTTGCTAGCGTCTGTAATAAGTGTAAACTGTTTTTGAAAGTCAGGGTAGGCTACAACTGGTTCGCTTTTAATTAAGACTTTTAGCTTTTCGAAAGATTCTATAAATTCTAAATCATTTGTATTAATTTTAGAATTTTTTTTCAGGTATTTTATTAAATGTTTTGCAATTTTAGAGTAATCTTTTATGTATCGCCTTAAGTAGCTAGTCATGCCCAGAAAACTTTTTATTTGTTTTTGCGTTGTTGGCAATTTAATCCTATCGATTGCCTCAACTTTTTTTTTGCTGGGTTTCAGACCGTCTGAATTTAGAACGTGCCCTAAAAACTCTATTTCGCATTTGGCAAACTCACATTTGTCAATTTGAAGCTTTAAGTTTGCATTCTTCAAGCAATTTAATATTTTGGTAAGGTGCTCAATATGTTCTTCGATTGTTTTCGAAAATATAAGAATATCGTCCATATATACAATACAAAAATGGTCTATATAGTTTCTGAGTAAGTGGTTCATAAGCTGTTGAAAGGTTGCGGGAGCATTTCGAAGACCGAATGGCATACGCAAGAATTCGTAGTGCCCGCTAGCAGTTGAAAATGCCGTCTTTTGGATATCGCTCTCGCTCATTTCAATTTGATAGAAACCCTTTGCTAAGTCTAAGGAAGAAAATATTTTACATCCATCCAGCTTATGAAATATCTCATCTATATTAGGAATAGGATAGCGATCTTCAATTGTTTGCGAGTTTAATTTTCTGTAGTCGACAACGAGTCGCCATTTCGGTTGATTTGATTTATCCAATTTCTTTTGGACAACCCATAAGGGACTGTTGTACGGACTATTCGAATGTCTTATTATTCCTTGTTTTAGCATATCGGATATTTGTTTGTTTACTTCGTCATTATGGGCCTCGGGATACCTATAGGCTTTCGAATAGATAGGAATATCATTTTTTGTATGAATTTTGTGTTTAACTTCACTCGTAAAGGTTAAATTATCTCCTTCTTTATAAAATATACCTTCAAATCGTTTTAAAACTGGAGTGAGTAGTTTCTGAGAAATAGGATTTATATATTCTAACGACACGCTATGGCTAGTGTTAACTTCCGGACTATTTAACGTACTTGGGTGCCTTGTGTAGAAGTTTAGTTTAACATTATTCAAAGTAATTGTCTGTTCTGAATAGTTTATTATTGCGTTTAAATCATTTAATATGTTTCCTCCTATTATGCCATCGAATATATCGTGGAAGTTGTATTCCAAGAACTCACACGAATAATTATTTGTTCCAAATTCTTCAAATGAAGGAAATCTACATAGTTTATGTATCTGAATAATGTTTCCCATTGCTTTTACTTGAACTTCGATGTTTGTTTTCCATTTTGGGTGGCATATGTTTTCATTAATGATACTGAATTCCGCTCCAGTGTCGACAATGAGTAGGAGGTCTCTTTGAGTTGATCGAAGTTTTATATAGGGTAGTTTTGCTGGTCCCCTAGTTGAAAATTTGCATTAATATGACTTACTTCCATTTGACCTACCGAATTATTATTTAGAGTGTTACGTGTAGCTACCTGTTGAGGCTGGATAGTGTTATAGGACATTCTAGAATTACTAGATGGATTAGCGGCGTAATTGTTATTATAACTGGCCCTATTTTCATACCTATTTGTATTTTGCCTGTTGGAACTGCCAGGATTTTCCTCTACTTGTGGTTGATTATGGTATCCATTTGGAGTTCTTTCATTTCGATTGTTACTATCGTTACTGAAATATTTTCTAAAAGGAGGTTTGTGCAGTCTATTGGCCATTTCGTTTATTTTGTCGTAATATTGCTCTATTGTGGATTCTATTCTACATAGTTTTAATGCGTCCATCAATTCATCACTACTTTCCTTTTCCCCAAAATGTTTTATTAGTATTTCTTTTAGTCTTTCCCAGGACGTAACGTTTCCGTACCTATGCAAAACGGGTCTTACTAGTCCACAACATTTATTTTTTATAAAGTTAAAGAGGACTTGTCTCGATTGTTCGTCGAACACTTGAAAAGATGGCATTAATACGTTGATTTGATTTATAAAGTCGGGAAGCTGGTTTTTATCTGAGCCATCAAAATCTTGGATATTTTTTATACAATTTAAATAAACAGTTATTTCGGGATTCATTTTTAGGCCTAGTTTTTTTTTTTTTTTTTTTTTTAACTTAAATGTAAAATAAAATTAGAACTTACTTAAGATTAACAAATACTTCTGGATCGTGAAAAGAAAGTAATACACAATGATAGATTTTACGACTCCAGTATTCCTAGGCGGAAACTTTTCCTCTCAGAATTTTTTGACCAGTGTCGTCTTCTCCGAAGTCCAAAATAGTGCGAAATAGATGATACCGTAAGTGATGACGTCGACAACGATAGTAATTGCAAGGGCTCGTCGTAGCGAAAATCGGTGAATAAGTTGAGCGCAAAAACAGAGCTTTGTCTTTTGCTGATAAGGATGACGTATGTGGAGTTTGGTGTAATGTTTTCGAGCCGCTTGTCTCAGACCATTACGCAATATCGTGTGCATTTAAATACACGTGGTAATTTGGAAAATTTAATTCCAAAATCGGTGGTTTTTGAATCCTCGTCGCCAGTTAGATCGCGGCTTGGCCCATTATACGCGACACCGTCAGTTGACTTTCTCGAGGGTATAGATTTGGGTAAAAAGGCGTTCTTAACCAATTTTAATTGCCGGTTTCGATCGAGTCGTTGTTACAAGTCTAATTGCTAGTTAGGTCCCGCAAAGATTAAGTTCCAATTATGAAATCTCATTTAAATTGTTTCAAAGAGATGTTTTATTTAAAGCGAGCTGTTGCTTGTGCGGTCTGTACACGACTACTTGATTCGAGCTTTTATTGTAATGTCTTTCTTTCTTATCTTTATTCTTAGGCTAAGCTTATACATGTAGGTTACAATTAAGGGTATACAAATAGTTATACTTGGATATGTGACTATATAGAGCTAAATTTATTATAAAAAATATAAAAAATTGGGTGGGGGGGGAGGGGTATACTTTCACTTTTCCAACAGGTGTGTATAGGTATGTAGAACACTATAAAAAAAACCTAACTGAAATATGTTACATAGTTCGCGAGTTATTAATTTATTCCAAAAAATCGGGCAAATTCCCCATAGTGCAATGTAGCAACTCAAAAATAGAGATAGTTGATTTACCTGAACAAGGAATAATAACTTTAAGGTCAGATTGTACTGCTCGAACTGATGAGAAAATCTTGGTTGCTTAACACAGTATTCAGCTAGAAGATCAGGGAACATTAGCTTTGTCTTACATTGGAGAAGTCAACGAAATACCAAAGATTATTTGGAACCCGCTCGAAATACCATTAATTAACCATACGGACGAAATCAATCGTTTATCAAAGCAAATTCAATATTTTAAAAACTAGACTTTCACCATTTAACTGGACACGCATCATTTTAGCAAAAATACAAATACAAAGGCAGTTACAAGCCATAGCATTACCCAGCGGTATGCTTAATTTTTAAATTTGTAGACGCAATAAATCAATGATATAAAAATGTTTTATGTTAAAAAATAAATAAATTTACTAACATGTAAAAACACAATAAGTGCAAGCCGTGGCAAGGTGTCAAAATAATTATGCAAAATGAAATATATCGAATTAATACAGTCCACTAATTTTGTATTGCAATGTTTTTGAGAATAAATAAAATAAATTGTAATTAAAACATACACCAAACACTAATAAAAATAAAATATAATACTTTATGAGCTCTGTGCATGTCATGTGACAATTGTAAATCGACCCAGAGCCATAAACTATGATCTGTAATTTTAAACCCTACAAGGGAGCGGT